AGCAGCAGTGCCAGGCAGCCAAGGCCGGCCCAGGAGAAGCAGTGCTCACACACAGTCCATGGCAAGCAGGGCAAGGCGCTGACATCATGGGGAAGAAGAAGACACGAACCTCCATCCCGCCCGAACCAACATCCTCATATGACCTTACTTCCTTTTTTCTTTCTTTTCTTTTTCTTTTTTTTTTTTTTTCTGGTCCTGGGGCTTGAACTCTGGGCCTGGGCATGTTCCCAGAGCTCCCTTTGCTCAAGACTAGCCCTCTACCACTTGAACCACAGCTCCACTTCTAGCCTTTTTCTGTGATTAATTGGAGATCAGTGTCTCACAGACTTTCTTGCACATGCTGGCTTTGAACTGCAATGCTCAGATCTCAGCTTCCTGAGTAGTTAGGATTATAGGTGTGAGCTGCCAGCATGCAGCTCTAAAGTCATCTTCCTTTAAAGCCCAGCTGTACAAGCTCAAACCTACCACAAGGTGGTGGACAGTTCACAAACTGAAGTGGTGAAAAACAGTTCCAGTTCTAAATGCTCCATTGGTACTCACTGGACACTATGTAGTAAATGAATTTCTTGTAGGTGGGGATGGAAGGGCAAAACTGGGAGAATGCATGGGAAGGGGTGACATCCAAAGGACATGTATTCTTTATCTGACTTCCATAATTGTAACCCCTCTGTCTATCACTTTTGTAATAACACAGAAAAAGTTTTTTAAAGAGTTCCAGTTCTGGTTCAGAAGAGCATTGCTCAATTGACTAAAATTCGATGTAGGAAATGTTCAAGATTTCCAAGGAGATCACTGAATCCACAGAGGTTACCATGAGGATCAAGAAGTCGAAGTCATCTTTCAAAAGGCCATGGGGCTTTTTGTTTTGACAGAATTAAGCAGAAGGAACACCAGGTACTAGAGTGGAAGAGGAAAAGAGGGAGGGAGGGAAGGAAAGGAGGCAAAGATCCCCTCGTGATGCTATTAGGTTATTTTGCAGACGTAGCAGGAATAGGGCAAGGCATACAAGCCTCAGTCAAAGTTGAGGTAGGAAAGGAGATAGAGGAAAAAAATCAAAACAAAAAACAAGAGAGGTAGAAGCATGATCAAAAGATGTTAAGGAAAGAGGTAAGAACTGAAAAAAAGGAGAGGTGCCAAGAATGGAGAAATAGGGGTGAGATAAAAGATAAAGATATAGGGGCATAAAAATTACAAAGAAGATTCTAAGAAAAACAAAAAACACAGACCAGGCACTGGAGGTTCATGCCTGTCATCCTAGCTACTCAAGAGGTTGAGATTTGAGGATCGTAGTTCAAAGCCAGCCTGGGCAGGAAAGTCCCTGAGACTCTCATCTCCTAGCAACCACCAGAAAACTGGAGGTGGAGCTGTAACTCCAAGTGGTAGAGCCCCAGCCTTGAGCAAAAAAGCTCAGGGACAGTGCCCAGGCCCTAAGTTTAAGCCCCATGACTGAAGGGGGGAAAAACACAATAGAAGCAGAGAAAGAAAACATACAAGCAGAAATGCAAGAAGTCCAAGAAATGAAATAGAGGCAGGAATAACGTTGATTGGTTGGGCCAGTTCCTTATTAGGATTGGTCAGGTGGGGCCTTGTCACAAGAAAGTTGTTGGGGGTGAGTTTGTAGCTTAGATTCTAGTGACAAGATGTTTATCAGATCTGTCCATCCTGAAATCCAAGGTGCCCATGAGGTTACTGCAGGGCAGAATGGCTTAGATGAAGGGCAGATACCAAATGGAGGCAGGAAGGTCACTAGAATCTCAACTACAATCTCCACCAACAACTTACCTGACAAGGCCTCACCTGACCTCAACTGGCCCAACCTATCAACTACACTTTGACTGGGGCTGCTTAGTGAGATATACATTTCCATCCCTGCCCAGAAGCTCACATTTGTACCCTGATATGGCTGCCATGCTTAACATGTCTTTTCCTACAGAATGCAAGGGCCACATAATAATCTTTCTCTTCCCTTTACTACTACACATTTCTTTATTTGGTATATCAAAGCAAGGGCCCAAACCTGTCATATTGGGCCCCCTGGAGTTGGGACTCTGGGATTGCTTGGAAGCAGAGTTGATGTGTGCTCTGAAGACCTGCTATTGGATGTTAAGTGAGTCAGACACTTAGGACTGGGGTGAGGTAGCAGGGAGGGAAGACTCCTACATGAATGGACCTTTGCTCCCATTCAAACTCACTGAGAAAAGTGAGCCCCAAGGCTCTCCTGCCCACCATTTATCCTCTGAGCATATGCTTCATGTATTTGAGTTGAACATACCCAACAACATGTCTGCCACCTTTTCTTGTTGAATTAACTATGGCCTTAAACTGAGCATGCTCATGATTGTACACTTTCACTGAGCATGCTCAGGAATATGTCTCCGAAATACTTTCCCATATGAATATGTAGAGAGTCCCTAAGTAAAACCCATATACAACCTCCAGGCCCTGAGGTCAAGCCCCAGGACGTGCACAAAAATAAAATAAAATAGAATACATCACTTTGCACTGGGAAAGATGCTAGAAGGACTTCCCAGGAATTGGCCAGACCATACACATAACAGTACCAAAGTATAAAATTTTCAACCCAAGCCAGGTGCCAGTGGCTCACGCCGATAATACCTAGCTACTCAAGAGGCTGAGATCTGAGGATGGCAGTTCAAAGCCAACCTGGGCAGTAAAGTCCATGAGACTTTCATCTCCAATTAACCACCAGAAAACCAGAAATAGCACTGTGGCTCAAGTGGTAGAGCACTCAACTTGAGCTGAAAAGCTGAGGGACAGTGCCCAGGCCCAGAATTCAAGCTCCACAATGAACAACAACAAAAATTAACCCATTTTTAAAGGCTAATTTGGGAAGAGAGTTTCAGGGCCCCTGCAGGACAGCCCACCCAGTGAATATTCCCCTGACTTTGTCTACAAAGGCACTCAGAGACCACTGCTACAGTAGGCCACAGGAGCCTGACTTTAGCCCCAGCTAGGATCTGACCTTGAAACGTCCACATGATGCAGGTTTTGCAGGCATTTAGAATGCAAGAGAATTATGGGGTCACAGAGGCTTCTGCTAAGATATCAAAGAAAGGTCAAGGAAGCAAGACAACATGTGGCTGGGATCAGAGTTCCTACATTCAGCCCCTAAAAGGGCAATGCATGAAGCTTTGAGAGGAAACCTAAGCATCACTGCAGAACCCAGGAAGCTGGAGATGTCAGCAACAAAGAACATAAGGCACTGGCAGTGAGCAGAGTCAACCCAGGAGAGAGGCATGTGGGCTGCATCCAGCAAGTCCATATAAGTGGAACCCACTTCTGTCTCCCACATCTAGTATCACAATTTGTTCCAGATGCTAGACATGTTACAGAATTTTGTGTTTGCCCTGTTGTCAGTCTTGCTTTGAGCAAATGAGGTATAGAGATGGAAATGTTACACCAAAACACAGTCCCAACAATGACCAACAATTACCTCTGTTCTTTTCAGCTACACAGCTAACCCAGATGGTGCCAGGCCTCTGACACATCAACTCTAACAGTGTTCTGACCCAGTCCTCATCACAAGCCTCAGATACATAGGCCTGAGAGGAGAACAAATCTGGTTGGCTTTTCCACACCAATCTTGTCCATTTCAAATACTACTAGCCAAGTGTTTTTCCTTCCTGTGAGACTAACTTGCAATGTAGTCAACCTTTTTTAAAGCCATAGTATCATCTTGAATTGTTCAGAAACACCCAGATGTGTCTTCAGATGCAAAGTATATGACTTAGCCAGGTGCTGGTAGCTCACACCTGTAATCTAGATCAAAGCCAGCCTGGGCAGAAAAGTCTGTGAGATTCCATCTCCAACTGACTAGCTAACAACAATGTGGAACTCCGAAGAGAACAGAACATATCTCTATTCATCACAGACACTTGGAAACAGTTAAGTCCTCCACAGAGTGTCCCTGTATTTGTAATTCTGCTTCTGGGGGAAAAAAAAATCAAAGGACTCAATTCAATCTGTTCTTTTCCATACAGTCCTGACTTCACAGCTGTTTTTAAGTAAAACCTTTTCCGTGGGGTAACCCCCACTCTGTTCACTGGAGGGGTCTAGCCTCATAAGGAACGGATCTTTTAAACTGAAGC